ACGAACCTGAATTGTCCGATTTCAAGGACCAATCGATATCGGATTGAGTCCAAAACTTGGGGAACACATAATATGGTGGGAGGAGTCATTTGGTGGGTTTTGAGTGAAATCCAATGGCTAAAGCTATGCAATACACCATCCACTTCATTTCAGAACGAACTTCGTACGAACCTGAATTGTCCGATTTCAAGGACCAATCGATATCGGATTGAGTCCAAAACTTGGGGAACATCATAATATGGTGGGAGGAGTCATTTGGTGGGTTTTGAGTGAAATCCAATGGCTAAAGCTATGCAATACACCATCCACTTCATTTCAGAACGAACTTCGTACGAACCTGAATTGTCCGATTTCAAGGACCAATCGATATCGGATTGAGTCCAAAACTTGGGGAACACATAATATGGTGGGAGGAGTCATTTGGTGGGTTTTGAGTGAAATCCAATGGCTAAAGCTATGCAATACACCATCCACTTCATTTCAGAACGAACTTCGTACGAACCTGAATTGTCCGATTTCAAGGACCAATCGATATCGGATTGAGTCCAAAACTTGGGGAACATCATAATATGGTGGGAGGAGTCATTTGGTGGGTTTTGAGTGAAATCCAATGGCTAAAGCTATGCAATACACCATCCACTTCATTTCAGAACGAACTTCGTACGAACCTGAATTGTCCGATTTCAAGGACCAATCGATATCGGATTGAGTCCAAAACTTGGGGAACATCATAATATGGTGGGAGGAGTCATTTGGTGGGTTTTGAGTGAAATCCAATGGCTAAAGCTATGCAATACACCATCCACTTCATTTCAGAACGAACTTCGTACGAACCTGAATTGTCCGATTTCAAGGACCAATCGATATCGGATTGAGTCCAAAACTTGGGGAACATCATAATATGGTGGGAGGAGTCATTTGGTGGGTTTGAGTGAAATCCAATGGCTAAAGCTATGCAATACACCATCCACTTCATTTCAGAACGAACTTCGTACGAACCTGAATTGTCCGATTTCAAGGACCAATCGATATCGGATTGAGTCCAAAACTTGGGGAACATCATAATATGGTGGGAGGAGTCATTTGGTGGGTTTTGAGTGAAATCCAATGGCTAAAGCTATGCAATACACCATCCACTTCATTTCAGAACGAACTTCGTACGAACCTGAATTGTCCGATTTCAAGGACCAATCGATATCGGATTGAGTCCAAAACTTGGGGAACATCATAATATGGTGGGAGGAGTCATTTGGTGGGTTTTGAGTGAAATCCAATGGCTAAAGCTATGCAATACACCATCCACTTCATTTCAGAACGAACTTCGTACGAACCTGAATTGTCCGATTTCAAGGACCAATCGATATCGGATTGAGTCCAAAACTTGGGGAACATCATAATATGGTGGGAGGAGTCATTTGGTGGGTTTTGAGTGAAATCCAATGGCTAAAGCTATGCAATACACCATCCACTTCATTTCAGAACGAACTTCGTACGAACCTGAATTGTCCGATTTCAAGGACCAATCGATATCGGATTGAGTCCAAAACTTGGGGAACATCATAATATGGTGGGAGGAGTCATTTGGTGGGTTTTGAGTGAAATCCAATGGCTAAAGCTATGCAATACACCATCCACTTCATTTCAGAACGAACTTCGTACGAACCTGAATTGTCCGATTTCAAGGACCAATCGATATCGGATTGAGTCCAAAACTTGGGGAACATCATAATATGGTGGGAGGAGTCATTTGGTGGGTTTTGAGTGAAATCCAATGGCTAAAGCTATGCAATACACCATCCACTTCATTTCAGAACGAACTTCGTACGAACCTGAATTGTCCGATTTCAAGGACCAATCGATATCGGATTGAGTCCAAAACTTGGGGAACATCATAATATGGTGGGAGGAGTCATTTGGTGGGTTTTGAGTGAAATCCAATGGCTAAAGCTATGCAATACACCATCCACTTCATTTCAGAACGAACTTCGTACGAACCTGAATTGTCCGATTTCAAGGACCAATCGATATCGGATTGAGTCCAAAACTTGGGGAACATCATAATATGGTGGGAGGAGTCATTTGGTGGGTTTTGAGTGAAATCCAATGGCTAAAGCTATGCAATACACCATCCACTTCATTTCAGAACGAACTTCGTACGAACCTGAATTGTCCGATTTCAAGGACCAATCGATATCGGATTGAGTCCAAAACTTGGGGAACATCATAATATGGTGGGAGGAGTCATTTGGTGGGTTTTGAGTGAAATCCAATGGCTAAAGCTATGCAATACACCATCCACTTCATTTCAGAACGAACTTCGTACGAACCTGAATTGTCCGATTTCAAGGACCAATCGATATCGGATTGAGTCCAAAACTTGGGGAACACATAATATGGTGGGAGGAGTCATTTGGTGGGTTTTGAGTGAAATCCAATGGCTAAAGCTATGCAATACACCATCCACTCATTTCAGAACGAACTTCGTACGAACCTGAATTGTCCGATTTCAAGGACCAATCGATATCGGATTGAGTCCAAAACTTGGGGAACATCATAATATGGTGGGAGGAGTCATTTGGTGGGTTTTGAGTGAAATCCAATGGCTAAAGCTATGCAATACACCATCCACTTCATTTCAGAACGAACTTCGTACGAACCTGAATTGTCCGATTTCAAGGACCAATCGATATCGGATTGAGTCCAAAACTTGGGGAACATCATAATATGGTGGGAGGAGTCATTTGGTGGGTTTTGAGTGAAATCCAATGGCTAAAGCTATGCAATACACCATCCACTCATTTCAGAACGAACTTCGTACGAACCTGAATTGTCCGATTTCAAGGACCAATCGATATCGGATTGAGTCCAAAACTTGGGGAACATCATAATATGGTGGGAGGAGTCATTTGGTGGGTTTTGAGTGAAATCCAATGGCTAAAGCTATGCAATACACCATCCACTTCATTTCAGAACGAACTTCGTACGAACCTGAATTGTCCGATTTCAAGGACCAATCGATATCGGATTGAGTCCAAAACTTGGGGAACATCATAATATGGTGGGAGGAGTCATTTGGTGGGTTTTGAGTGAAATCCAATGGCTAAAGCTATGCAATACACCATCCACTTCATTTCAGAACGAACTTCGTACGAACCTGAATTGTCCGATTTCAAGGACCAATCGATATCGGATTGAGTCCAAAACTTGGGGAACATCATAATATGGTGGGAGGAGTCATTTGGTGGGTTTTGAGTGAAATCCAATGGCTAAAGCTATGCAATACACCAACCACTCATTTCAGAACGAACTTCGTACGAACCTGAATTGTCCGATTTCAAGGACCAATCGATATCGGATTGAGTCCAAAACTTGGGGAACATCATAATATGGTGGGAGGAGTCATTTGGTGGGTTTTGAGTGAAATCCAATGGCTAAAGCTATGCAATACACCATCCACTCATTTCAGAACGAACTTCGTACGAACCTGAATTGTCCGATTTCAAGGACCAATCGATATCGGATTGAGTCCAAAACTTGGGGAACATCATAATATGGTGGGAGGAGTCATTTGGTGGGTTTTGAGTGAAATCCAATGGCTAAAGCTATGCAATACACCATCCACTTCATTTCAGAACGAACTTCGTACGAACCTGAATTGTCCGATTTCAAGGACCAATCGATATCGGATTGAGTCCAAAACTTGGGGAACATCATAATATGGTGGGAGGAGTCATTTGGTGGGTTTTGAGTGAAATCCAATGGCTAAAGCTATGCAATACACCATCCACTTCATTTCAGAACGAACTTCGTACGAACCTGAATTGTCCGATTTCAAGGACCAATCGATATCGGATTGAGTCCAAAACTTGGGGAACACATAATATGGTGGGAGGAGTCATTTGGTGGGTTTTGAGTGAAATCCAATGGCTAAAGCTATGCAATACACCAACCACTCATTTCAGAACGAACTTCGTACGAACCTGAATTGTCCGATTTCAAGGACCAATCGATATCGGATTGAGTCCAAAACTTGGGGAACATCATAATATGGTGGGAGGAGTCATTTGGTGGGTTTTGAGTGAAATCCAATGGCTAAAGCTATGCAATACACCATCCACTTCATTTCTGAACGAACTTGCTACGACCATGAATGTCCGATTTGATGGACCATCGATTATCGGAGTGCGTCCCCCCAAATGAGGAACACCATATATGGTGGGAGGAGTCCTTGGTTGTTTTGGAGTTGAAATCCATTTGCTAAACTATTTGCAATACACCCCCTACTACCATTTCAGAACGAACTTGCTACGAACCTGAATAGTCCGATTTCAGGACCAACGATATCGGATTGAGTCCAAAACTTGGGGAAACATCATAATATGGTGGGAGGAGTCATTTGGTGGGTTTTGAGTGAAATCCAATGGCTAAAACTATGCAATACACCAACTTCATTTCAGAACGAACTTGTACGAACCTGAATTGTCCGATTTGAAGGACCAATCGATATCGGATTGAGTCCAAAACTTGGGGAACAACATAATATGGTGGGAGGAGTCATTTGGTGGGTTTTGAGTGAAATCCAATGGCTAAAGCTATGCAATACACCATCCACTACGAACTTCGTACGAACCGACTTGTCCGATTTCAAGGTGATCAGTTCACAATTGCATATCATTTTGTACCCTTCTAACTTATGATTTGGTTATGTTATTGAGTCAAACGTTTGCTTTTAATCCCTTTTCTGTTTATCATTCAGTTCATGGAGCCTTAGGTAGCAATGGTGCCTTTGGATAAGAAAAGATGCAAAATGGTGCAAAAACGAGCAGACTGGGTTGGCAACTCATTTCGGCCTTAACGTCTTTCTCCCAACTTTGATTGGCCCATGTAATATGTGCTTGGAAAGATGAGAGTCTGAACTTCAAGATGGACAACTCAAATGTATCAATTGATTAAGTCAAGCCCAATCCGTGAGCCCATCAAAATGCACACCATGCTCAGGAATGCAACTGCTAGCTGTTGAGCCATGTGCTGACAAGACAGCATGGAAACTCAGAAGGCATGGGCAGCTGACATTCCAAGAGGTATGGGCAGCTGACATTCCTAGAGGCATGGGCTACACATCAAATCAGCAGCATGGGAACCTAATGGGCAGCTCAGACAAATGGGAACAGCTAGGAATGGGTGTGCTTCACCAGCCAAAGGGGGAGCACGAATTTGCACTCTATAAATAGAGTGATGCACACTCATTCAAAGGAGGTCACTCCATTCAGCCTAAAATTCACTTCAGCCATCCTCTAACACTCCCATCCTTCCCCAAACACTCCATTCAGCCCCAAATCACCAAAACAGCTCCAACAAGCCTTCCTTCCATTTCCCTACGAATTTCCTCTTTCTCTGCCATCACCACTCACCCAAACTCATCCCAAATCACCTCTTTAGTTGCCATACTCTAGATGTGAGGAAGCTCTTGGAGCAGCATTAGGTGTGGAGAAGCACTTGGAGAAGCCTTGGACACCACAAGTAACTTCAGAAATGGGTTTTTCCACTCTTATTACATTCATTATGTTTTCTCATTTCTGTTTAAGTTTCATTTCCATTATGAGTAGCTAAATTCATAACTAGGACTTCGATGTAACCTAACATGAATATTCTGGGTTTATAAGTTGAAGTTTTGAGTTTCAAGTTTGATTCATGATTCATGTTCTTATTCATTATGCTTATCAGTTAATATGCTTGTTTGGATGATTGATCACCATTAGAACTTGTATATTAGCTATCTTGGTTTGAATCAAGAGTAGACACCATGCTTTGATTCGAATTGAACTATGAATAAGAAAAGTATGTATGGACATTCGACAACAGGGATTAGATACATGCTTGGTTGTTTAAATTGTTCTTCTATGCTTAATGAGTTCCTAATGCTTAATTTAGGTTAGACAACAAATGATCAAGTTAGGGAATTAGGAACACAAGGTTAGGACCAGACACCATGGCCTAATCATACTTTAGCTAGAATCAATCTTTGAATCGAATTAGACTTGTCACTTGACTCCTTATAACCTAGAATTGAATTGTTATGGTGAATCGAATGCCCTAGTCTCCCAATCTGTTTTCCAGCCCACAAAAACACTCTTTGTTACATTTGCTCACTTTGCTTTTGTTTGAAATTTCGTTTTGCCTCATTTGTTCAACAATTACAATCACTCTTGCTTTAAATTCTATTTTAGACTTAACCTCCTACTTTCTTGAATTTGGTAATCTAAGTACATAACTAATTTTAACTTCTCAGTCCTCGTGGGTACGACCTCGTACTTGTCTTGCTATATTACTAATTGGCCCGTACAATTGCGAGTTAACATATTAACAACACAAGGACCAATCGATATCGGATTGAGTCCAAAACTTGGGGAACAACATATATGGTGGGAGGAGTCATTTGGTTGGTTTGGAGTGAAATCCAATGGCTAAAACTATGCAATACACCAACTACTCCATTTCAGAACGAACTTGCTACGAACCTGAATAGTCCGATTTCATGGACCAATCGATATCGGATTGAGTCCAAAACTTGGGGAACAACATAATATGGGGGAGGAGTCATTTGGTGGGTTTTGAGTGAAATCCAATGCTAAAACTATGCAATACACCACCACTCCATTTCAGAACGAACTTCTACGAACCTGAATAGTCCGATTTCATGGGCCAATCGATATCGGATGGAATCCAAAACTTGGGGAACAACATAATTTGGTGGGAGGGAGTCATTTGGTGGGTTTGGAGTGAAATCCAATGGCTAAAACTATGCAATACACCAACCACTTCATTTCAGAACGAAACTCGTACGAACCTGAATAGTCCGATTTCATGGGACCAATCGATATCGGATTGAGTCCAAAACTTGGGGAACAACATAATATGGGGGGAGGGAGTCATTTGGTTGGTTTGAGAAAAATCCAATGGTTAAAACTATGCAATACACCAACCACTCCATTTCAGAACGAACTTCGTACGAAACGGAGAATAGTCGATTTCAAGGACCAATCGATATAGGATTGAGTCCAAAACTGGGGAACAACATAATATGGTGGGAGGAGTCATTTGGTTGTTTGAGTGAAATCCAATGGCTAAAACTATGCAATACACCAACCACTTCATTTAGAACGAACTTCGTACGAAACTGAATTGTCCGATTTCAAGGCCCAAACGATATCGGATTGAGCCAAAACTTGGGGAACAACATAATATGGTGGGAGGAGAGTCATTTGGTGGGTTTTGAGTGAAATCCAAGGGCTAAAACTATGCAATACACCAACCATTCATTCAAAACGAAATTTCGTACGAACCTGAATAGTCCGATTTCATGGACCAATCGATATCGGATTGAGTCCAAAACTTGGGGAACACCATAATATGGGGGAGGAGTCATTTGGTGGTTTTGAGAGAAATCCAATGGCTAAAACTATGCAATACACCATCTTCATTTCAGAACGAACTTCGTACGAACCTGAATTGTCCGATTTCAGGGACCAATCGATATCGGATTGAGTCCAAAACTTGGGGAACACCATAATATGGGGGGGAGGAGTCAGTTGGTGGTTTTGAGTGAAATCCAATGGCTAAAACTATGCAAATACACCAACCACTCATTTTAACGAACTTCTACGAACCTGAATTTTAAAAAAAAAAAAAAAAAAAAAAAAAAAAAAAAAAAAAAAAAAAAAAAAAAAAAAAAAAAAAAAAAAAAAAAAAAAAAAAAAAAAAAAAAAAAAAAAAAAAAAAAAAAAAAAAAAAAAAAAAAAAAAAAAAAAAAAAAAAAAAAAAAAAAAAAAAAAAAAAAAAAAAAAAAAAAAAAAAAAAAAAAAAAAAAAAAAAAAAAAAAAAAAAAAAAAAAAAAAAAAAAAAAAAAAAAAAAAAAAAAAAAAAAAAAAAAAAAAAAAAAAAAAAAAAAAAAAAAAAAAAAAAAAAAAAAAAAAAAAAAAAAAAAAAAAAAAAAAAAAAAAAAAAAAAAAAAAAAAAAAAAAAAAAAAAAAAAAAAAAAAAAAAAAAAAAAAAAAAAAAAAAAAAATCATCTACCAGTTCAAGCGCTTCAATGCTGATAAAAAGCTGAACCTGAACTTCGTTCGGGATCCGCCGCCGTTGCCCGAGAGGGTAACCGAGGAGATGGTCGAGGCGTACCTCGGGGAGGATGCCAAAGTCGATTCCTCAAGCAGCTCAAAATCTGACGGTGAGGAGGAAGAAACGACTCCCCCTGCCCAGTCGTTGAGTGCCCGAGAGGATGACGGCGGGCCGACACCGCCCAAGGCCGATCTTCCAACTCCTTGACTGCTACCCTACTTGTCTCTTTTGTTGTTGTAATATATAAAGTTAGTGTTTGGATATTGAGGCTGTTAGGCTAATTTTGTAAAGACAATTGCCCAGTTTGAGGCTTTAGTTATATCCAAGTCTAATTTGAATCAGCTTCAGTGTTTGTCCTTGTAAAGACAATTGTCCTTGTACAAAAGTGTAGTGGCCGAAGGTCCAATCACTTGTGATAGAATTTTAAATGTTCGACATTCCAAGGGTGGCCGAGGGTTTGACCGTCGGAGCCACGTAATCGGTAAGTGCCGAGTCGGCAGATGTTGACAATTTCATAGGGTCCTTCCCATGAGGGGCCGAGAGTGCCTTCAGTAGGATTTCTCGTTGCTAGAGACACTTTACGCAGAACCCAGTCCCCTATCTTGAACGATCGGTGTTTTACGCACGAGTCCTAATAACGAGCCGTTCGTTGTTTGTAGTGGCGTTCCGGAGCTATGCTTGCGATCGGCGTTCGTCAATGAGATCCAGATTGAGGGCGAGCTGCTGTTCATTCTGCTGAGGGTTGTAAGTTGTCGTTCGGCATATGGGCGCATGTACTTCTACCGGTACGACAGGTTCGGTACCGAAGGCTAGGGAGAATGGTGTCTCACCAGTTGACCTTCGGTAGGAGGTATTGATGGCCCATAGTGCTTCTGGTAGTATGGCACGCCAATTGCCCTTGGCGGCTCCCAGCTTCTTCTTCAATGTTTTCTTGATGATCTTGTTGATGGCTTCTACCTGCCCATTGGATTGCGGATGTGCCGGAGATGCAAAGAAGATGCTAATGTTGAATTGGGAGCAGAGATGCCGAAACCGTGAGCAATTGAATTGCTTGCCGTTGTCCGTTACGATGGCGTTTGGTAGGCGGAATCAGCATAGGATGTTTTTCCATACAAAGTGTTCGATCTTAGCTGCCGTTATTGTTGCGAGGGCTTCGGCCTCAGTCCATTTGGTAAAGTAATCGACGGCTACGACTGCGAATTTAAGCTGACCCGTGCCTTGCGGCATTAGGCCAATGAGATCGAGTCCCCATTGGGCAAATGGCCACGGGCTAGTCATCGGACTGAGTGGTTCGGCCGGGACTTTCGATACAGATCCGAAATTTTGGTACGGATCGCACCTTTGCATAATCTGGGTGGCGTCAGGGTGGAAAGTTGGCCAATAATAGCCTCGCCGAACGGCCTTGAAGGCCAAGGATCGGGATCCCAAGTGGTCACCACACGCAAGATGTAGTCTCCTTGTTATGGTGTAACACATCTTAGCAACGACAGGGAGTAGCTGCACCGATAGAGGATGCCTTGCAACAAAAGGTAGCGAGTTAACCGTCGTCGTACTGCCTTTGCTTCAGCTTTGTCAATTGGTAGGGTGTCGTCGGTGAGGTGGGCATGGATCGGGTCCATCCAACAAGGGTCCTGACGGACGGTGTTGATATTGGCTTTGGCCGTGCTCCGCCGAGCGAGAACTTCTATGGGGACGTGGCGTCCGACACGGTCATCGATTGCCGAAGCAAGCCTAGAGAGAGCATCGGTGTGGCTGTTCTCAGATCTGGGGACCTGTCAGATGTAGTAGGTTTTGAACTTTTTGAGCAATCGGCGGGTCTGCGCGAGATAGGCAGCCATTGATTCGTCTTTTGCTGCGAATTCAGTGATTACCTGGTTGACGACGAGTTGGGAGTTGCTACATATCATCAGCCGTTCGACACCCGAGCTTTGGGCAAGCCGAAGGCCTGCTAGGAGCGCCTCGTATTCGGCCTCGTTGTTGGAAGCACGAAACTGAAAGCGGATAGCATATTCGATTATGGTGTCATCCGGAGTCTTGAGGACTAGGCCTGCACTGCTGCCCTGCCGGTTGGATGAGCCATCCACGTATAATGTCCAGTGAGGGCTGTTTTGATCGAACGTATTGTCGGCCGAAGGTGAATCTACAGATGCCGAAGGTGGTGCCGTGACAGGGTCGATTGGTTGACCGTTGTTGGTTGGAAGTGTGAATTCTGAGATGAAATCGGCCACAGCCTGTACTTTTTCGGAAGGCCGAGGGTGATACCTGATGTCGAACTCGCCAAGCTCGATGACCCATTTGATCAGTCATCGTAATGTCTCTGGCTTCTGCAAGACTTGCCGTAGGGGTTGATTGGTTAATACGTCGATGCTGTGAGCCTAAAAGTAGGGCCGAAGTTTACGCGCAGAGAGGACGAGAGCATAGGCGAACTGTTCAAGTTAGGGGTACCGTTGTTCTGCGTCCTGTAATGCATGGCTCATATAAAAGATGGGGAGCTCAATGCCGTTCGGTCGACGGATGAGTACGGAACTCAGGGCAAGAGATAGATGGTGAGGTCTTCTCCGGGAAAAAAGGGTGGACAGCAGAGGAGCTCTGCTCATGTAGGCTTTCAGATCTTCGAACGCTCGGTCGCATTCAGAAGTCCAATCGACTTGCCGTTTGCTCCCTTTGAGAGAATTGAAGAAAGGAGCGCACCGGACGATGGCCTTTGATATGAAACGGGCCAAGGCGGCGACTCGGCCGGTGAGGCTCTGAACCTCCTTCTTCGTCCTTGGCACCCGCATGTCGATGAGCGCTCGGATCTTCTCGAGGTTGGCTTCAATCCCCCTTTGGCTGATCATGAAGCCCAGGAATTTGCCGGAAGAGACGCCGAAGGAGCACTTCCTCGGGTTCAGACGCATGTTGTATTTTTTCAACTTGCCAAACATGAGTAAGATGTTTTGAAAGTGATCACCGGCAGTCCAACTTTTGACTAGCATATCGTCTACGTAGACTTCCATTGAAGTGCCAATGAGTTCGGCAAAGATTTTGTTGACCAGTCGCTGGTATGTAGCTCCAACATTCTTTAGGCCGAACGGCATGACGTTGTAGCAATAAAGCCCTCTGTCGGTAATGAATGCCGTATGCTCACGATTCGGCATCCACCAGTTGGTCAATTCTTGGTAGTGGAAAGCTATCCTTCGGACATGCTTTATTTAGATTGGTGTAATCTTGGCACATTCACCAGGCGCCGCCGGATTTCTTCACCAAGACTGAGTTCGCGAGCCAAATGGGGTAGGTGACTTCGTGAATGAAGCCGATTGCTTGAAGCTTGCCTACTTCGGTCTTCATGGCCTCGTATCGTTCGGCGTCAGATCGTCTCTTCTGTCGACCGGCTGGAAATAAGGGGTGATGCTGAGCTTGTGGCTAATGACGTCCGGGGAGATCCCAGGCATATCGTTGTAAGACCAGGCGAAAACTTCCGTATTGGCCCTTAGAAAGGTAATGAAGTCAGTTCGGAGAGACGAACTGAGGGAAGTGCCGATTCGGACCTGCCGATCCTGTGTGTCTGAGATGGAGATCGTTTCGAGCTCTTCTGCAAGTTGAGCTTGCGGCGTGACGTTGTCGTCCCGGAGGTCATCGGGGCGTTGGGTCCCTCCTTTGCCATTGGGCATGTTTGGGCGGGTAACGGCCAGTGTTTCGGGCGGCCTTTGCCCTGACGTCCGAGTTGCTGATTCCACCGTGGATGACACGTAGCATACCCGTGCGCTCAATTGGTCCCCCCGAACCTGATCGACTCTTGAGTGTGGGGGGAATTTAAGCAGCAGCATATGTGGTGACAAAATGGCTTTTATTCGGGTGAGGGCGGGCCTGCCGATGATGGCGTTGTATGCGATCGGATAGTTGACTACTAGGAAGTAAGTGTAGATGAAAGCCCTTCTGGAGCAGGAGCCAACGGCAAGGGGAAGCTGGATGCTCCCGATTGGCTCGACCACATCGCCCGAGAAGCTTAGAAGAGGAGTGATCTCCTTATTGAGGCTTTGATGGTAGATTCCGAGGCCGTTGAAGGCATCGGCAAAGAGTACGTTGACCGAGCTTCTAGTGTCGATGAGGATTCAACCTACGTCAAAATTGGCAATGTCTGCTCGAATGATCATGGGATCGGAATGGGGGAAGATGATGCCCTTCTCTCTTCTTCGGAAAAGGTGATGGGTTCCCATCTGAATCGTCGGATTTTGCTGTTGCGCTCCTCAATGAGGCTGAGGGTGCCGAACGGCACGTACATAACTCTTGACGAACCGACGGCTGCAGTCAGCGATCGTTGTAACGCCACTGATCACGTTGATCTACCTATTGCCCTGGTGCTCGGGACCCGATTGTGCACTCAGATACTGGTCTAGTTTGCCCTCGCTGATCAGTTTTTCAACGATCCTTCGGAGGGCGATGTAGGACTTGGTATCGTGGCCGTTGTATTGGTGGTATCGGCAGAAGACTCCTGTATCCTTGTCGACTTGCCGAGGGAGCTTCCGGAGGCATGGATTCAGAATCATCTAATTTTTGGCCATGAGGACATGTTCGTAGGTCGAGTTAAGAATGGTGAAGACCTCCGGTGACTCCATTTCTGAACGAACTTCATAAAACCTGAATTCTCTAATTTCGTGGACCAATCGATATCGGATTGAGTCCAAAACTTGGGAAACATCATAATATGGTGGGAGGAGTCATTTGGTGGGTTTTGAGTGAAATCCAATGGCTAAAACTATGCAATACACCAACACCAACTCCATTTCTGAACGAACTTCGTACGAACCTGAATTGTCCGATTTCATGGACCAATCGATATCAGATTGAGTCCAAAACTTGGGGAAACATCATAATATAGTTGGGAGGAGTCATTTGGTGGTTTTGAGTGAAATCCAATGGCTAAAACTATGCAATACACCAACCACTCCATTTCTGAACGAACTTTGTACGAACCTGAATTGTCCAATTTCATGGACCAATCGATATCGGATTGAGTCCAAAACTTGGGGAACATCATAATATAGTTGGGAGGAGTCATTTGGTGAGTTTTGAGTAAAATCCAATGTCTAAAACTATGCAATACACCAACCACTCCATTTCTGAACAAACTTCGTACGAACCTGAATTGTCCAATTTCATGGACCAATCGATATCGGATTGAGTCCAAAACTTGGGGAACATCATATTATGGTGGGAGGAGTCATTTGGTGGGTTTTGAGTGAAATCCAATGGCTAAAACTATGCAATACACCAACCACTCCATTTTAGAACGAACTTCGTACGAAACTGAATTGTCTGATTTCATGGACCAATCGATATCGGATTGAGTCCAAAACTTGGGGAAACATCATATTACGGTGGGAGGAGTCATTTGGTGAGTTTTGAGTGAAATCCAATGTCTAAAACTATGCAATACACCAACAACTCCATTTTGAACCAACTTCATACGAACCTGAATTGTCCAATTTCATGGACCAATCGATATCGGATTGAGTCCAAAACTTGGGGAACATCATAATATTGTGGGAGGAGTCATTTGGTGGGTTTTGAGTGAAATCCAATGTCTAAAACTATGCAATACACCAACCACTCCATTTCAGAACGAACTTCGTACGAACCTAAATTGTCCGATTTCATGGACCAATCGATATCGGATTGAGTCCAAAACTTGGGGAACATCATAATATGGTTGGAGGAGTCATTTGGTGGTTTTGAGTGAAATCCAATGTCTAAAACTTTGCCACACACCAACCACTCCATTTCAGAACGAACTTCGTACGAACCTGAATTGTCCAATTTCACAGACCATATCGGATTGAGTCCAAAAAAATTGAGTTGGGGAAAACCTGATGGGGGAACATGTGGTAGGATTATTTGGTTTTGAAATCCAATGGCTAAAACTATGCAATACACCAACCACTCCATTTTAGAACGAACTTCGTACGAAACCTGAATTGTTCGATTTCATGGACCAATCGATATCGGATTGAGTCCAAAACTTGGGGAACATCATAATATGGTGGGAGGAGTCATTTGGTGTGTTTTGAGTGAAATCCAATGGCTAAAACTATGCAATACACCAACCACTCCCTTTCAGAACGAACTTCGTACGAACCTGAATTGTCCAATTTCACGGACCAATCGATATCGGATTAAGTCCAAAACTTGGGGAACATCATAATATTGTGGGAGGAGTCATTTGGTGTGTTTTGAGTGAAATCCAATGGCTAAAACTATGCAATACACCAACCACTCCATTTCAGAACGAACTTCGTACGAACCTGAATTGTCCAATTTCATGGACCAATCGATATCGGATTGAGTCCAAAACTTGGGGAACATCATAATATGGTGGGAGGAGTCATTTGGTGGTTTTGAGTGAAATCCAATGGCTAAAACTATGGAATACACCAACTCCATTTCAGAACGAACTTTGTACGAACCTGAATTGTCCGATTTCATGGACCAATCGATATCGGATTGAGTCCAAAACTTGGGGAACATCATATTATGGTGGGAGGAGTCATTTGGTGGTTTTGAGTGAAATCCAATGGCTAAAACTATGCAATACACCAACCACTCCCTTTCAAACGAACTTCGTACGAACCTGATTGTCCAATTTCACGGACCAATCGATATCGGATTGAGTCCAAAACTTGGGGAACATCATATTATGGTGGGGAGGAGTCATTTGTTGGGTTTTGAGTGAAATCCAATGGCTAAAACTATGCAATACACCAACCACTCCATTTTAGAACGAACTTCGTACGAACCTGAATTGTCCGATTTCGTGGACCAATCGATATTGGATTGAGTCCAAAACTTGGGGAACATCATAATATAGTTGGAGGAGTCATTTGGTGTGTTTTGAGTGAAATCCAAAGTCTAAAACTATGCAATACACCACTCCATTTCAGAACAAACTTCGTACGAACCTGAATTGTCCGATTTCATGGACCAATCAATATCGGATTGAGTCCAAAACTTGGGGAACATCATAATATGGTGGGAGTCATTTGGTGTGTTTTGGGTGAAATCCAATGTCTAAAACTATGCAATACACCAACCACTCCATTTTAGAACGAACTTTGTACGAACCTGAATTGTCCAATTTCATGGACCAATCGATATCAGATTGAGTCCAAGACTTGGGGAACACCATAATATAGTGGGAGGAGTCATTTGGTGAGTTTTGAGCGAAATCCAATGTCTACAACTATGCAATACAACTTCGTACGAACCTGAGTTGTCTAATATCATGTACCAATCGATATCGGATTGAGTCCAAAACTTGGGGAACATCATATTATGGTGGGAGGAGTCATTTGGTGTGTTTGAGTGAAATCCAATGGCTAAAACTATGCAATACACCAACCACTCCATTTTAGAACGAACTTCGTACGAACCTGAATTGTCCGATTTCATGGACCAATCGATATCGGATTGAGTCCAAAACTTGGGGAACATCATAATATAGTTGGAGGAGTCATTTGGTGAGTTTTGAGTGAAATCCAATGTCTAAAACTATGCAATACACCAACCACTCCATTTCAGAACGAACTTCGTACGAACCTGAATTGTCCAATTTCATGGACCAATCGATATCGGATTGAGTCCAAAACTTGGGGAACATCATAATATGGTGGGAGGAGTCATTTGGTGTGGTTTGAGTGAAATCCAATGGCTAAAACTATGCAATACACCAACCACTCCATTTTAGAACGAACTTCGTACGAACCTGAATTGTCCGATTTCGTGGACCAATCGATATCGGATTGAGTCCAAAACTTGGGGAACATCATAATATAGTTGGAGGAGTCATTTGGTGTGTTTTGAGTGAAATCCAATGGCTAAAACTATGCAATACACCAACCACTCCATTTCAGAACGAACTTCGTACGAACCTGAATTGTCCAATTTCATGGACCAATCGATATCGGATTGAGTCCAAAACTTGGGGAACATCATAATATGGTGGGAGGAGTCATTTGGTGGGTTTTGAGTGAAATCCAATGGCTAAAACTATGCAATACACCAACCACTCCATTTTAGAACGAACTTCGTACGAAACCTGAATTGTCCGATTTCATGGACCAATCGATATCGGATTGAGTCCAAAACTTGGGGAACATCATAATATGGTGGGAGGAGTCATTTGGTGTGTTTTGAGTGAAATCCAATGGCTAAAACTATGCAATACACCAACCACTCCCATTTCAGAACGAACTTCGTACGAACCTGAATTGTCCAATTTCACGGACCAATCGATATCGGATTGAGTCCAAAACTTGGGGAACATCATATTATGGTGGGAGGAGTCATTTGGTGGTTTGAGTGAAATCCAATGGCTAAAACTATGCAATACACCAACCATGATAGGACCCGCCCTAGAATTTCCCCCGAACCCGGGGCGGACCCCGTGTTTATGCCGACATCTCCCCGATGCCGGGCCCACTTACTAAATCCGAGACATCCTACGAAAAATTTGGCAGAGTCTCCCCTGGAAAATGCTCAAACCCAACAACATTCAACCTGCATAATTTTCATAATATAAGTCCCAACTGCCAGCATGCTTTCAACATACAACAATCCAAACTAAAGTGGGCTCCGGCCTCGAGTAACAACCTAACATGGGTGATAATAGAGCATCTAACAGAATTAGTTTACAACATACAGTTGAGTACAAGGAATTTACACAAGTCCTATCTACGGATGGAATGATTTGAGCTCGTACATTGCTCGAACACTTCCAAGAGCAACTACTGCCTGGGGGTGTAAAACCAAAAGATGTGAGTGGACAAAAATAAAGTTTGCATTTAAAACAATATAATAACCCCACCATGTAAAAATAATGCTCAAGCATGCAATTTCACATTCATAAACCAAATACTCAAAACACATAATCTCAAAGTCCAATAAATCTCTAAATCTCAAATCACAACTCCATTCCCAAAGATATGCAACTCTTACCAACCCATACATACATATATATATATATAACTATAATATAACATATACTTCTCTCCATACTAATGTATTGGGGAAACAATCCAACCGGGGGATTGTTTGGCTAGTACGTAGGATTTCCAGGTACTAACCCGCGTCCAGGGATGAGTAGTCCAACCGGGGGACGGAACTCCATAGCTCACACGCCGGCACTGCCAACGACACATGTAGCTTACATATCTCATAACAAGTCCTACGCGCGCAGACGGTATCATCACCCCACTGGCACTGCCAACGACGTGTGTCATGATACTAAGCAATATACATACTCTTCCCATACGCCGGCACTGCCAACGACACATATGGGAAGTGTCTCACACGTCGGCACTGCCAACGACACGTGTGAGACCCACAATCTCATGGCCTTCCCACCCCACCGGCACTGCCAACGACATGTGTGGGAAGCCTAGTAACCAGGGAATGGTACTCACCTAACATACTCATACATCTCTCAACCATCCCTCAAACTCATATCTTCCACAATCTCACAACACAACTCCAAAACTCCATATCAACATACTCACGATACTCGAATATATCCATACCCAAAATATATTTCCAATGTATATAAGAATATCAAAATCCATCAACCAAATATTTATTAAATCACATTTACCATTAAAACATATGCACAAATCTTTTATCATAAAACCATGCGTATGCTTGAAAACAAAGTCCACTCACAGGTAATCCCAAGCTGCCCGGCCCCGAGAGGGTCCTGCCTACTGCGTACGATCGACCGAAGCACCTATTTCGAGATACGAACCCTGATTAATATAATGCACTTCGAAACGGAAATTCACAAAAGGAAAAACTTAACTCCCCAAGTTCCCAGTGCGTGTACGTCCAATGGGATATCCTATGGTCCGGTTATAGGTTTAGGAATCGCTTCCAATCGTACGGTTATCGCTAATCCCTCCAACTTTGAATTATTGAATCGGAACATCCGGGGCTCCGATTCACGATCATCGAATTCCTACGCACTCGTGACAACCTAAGGATCTCATCGGGATAAAAAGCAAGTTCACCAGCCTTGCCCACGCGCCGCCAGCGCATGGGTGTGTAGAGTAAATTCCGGCAACGGAAAATCTCCAAATCAAAGCCACCCTTCCAATCCTAGATACTACTCGACGAATGGAGCATCTTTTTCAACTACGGCCAAGTCCAATTCGGAATGCAAGTGGCCAGATTTTTCACAATGAAAACCGGCCAAAACCTAGCTCGTCAAATCGGTTCCTAAACAGCAAATTGATCTAAACCTATGCAACAGTCAGCTAGGCCAAGGAAAAAAGAGAGAGAACCCTCACCAGTTTCACCAGAAATGGTGGCGGAGACGGTGGCGCAACCACGTGAGAAGTCCAGTTTCAACCAGTCGCTATCGTTCCTGGATTCCAGTGGGGATTTTGGGTGGTCTGGGTTCGTGGCCTCACGACGAGTTGAACGGGACCGGTCTCGAGGGCTGAGGTGGTCGGATGTGGCGATTGGGTGGCGGTTTCCGTCTCGGTGAACAGTGACGGGGGGGGGGGTGGGGTGGGGGGGGTTTACGCAGAGGGAAAATCGGGGAGAGAGAGAGACAAAGAGTGTGGGGTAGAAAGTGAAATTTTGATTTTTACCCAAACTCTTTTCGAAATAATTATGGTTCCGCCACCGAACTTATTTGATCGCCAAATCTCCATCACAACTCCGATTCAAGCCTACCGCAAGTCTACGGATTCGTCTCAGTACCACCTACACAACCAAAACACTAGTGATCCCAAAATCCTTCCGAATAAGAAAATGACCAAAATTACCCCTAACCCAAGGGTAAATTCGTAATTTCACTTAATTTAATTAAAATAGGAATAAATTTAGAGTCGGGGTGTTACAAACCACTCCATTTCAGAAGGAACTTCGTACGAACTGAATGAATTGTGGACCAATCGATATCGGATTGAGTCCAAAACTTGGGGAACATCATAATATGGTGGGAGGAGTCATTTGGTGTGGTTTGAGTGAAATCCAATGTCTAAAACTATGCAATACACCAACCACTCCATTTCAGAACGAACTTCGTACGAACCTGAATTGTCCAATTTCATGGACCAATCGATATCGGATTGAGTCCAAAACATGGGGAACATCATAATATGGTGGGAGGAGTCATTTGGTGGTTTTGAGTGAAATCCAATGGCTAAAACTATGCAATACACCAACCACTCCATTTTAGAACGAACTTCGTACGAACCTGAATTGTCCAATTTCATGGACCAATCGATATCGGATTGAGTCCAAAACTTGGGGAACATCATAATATGGTGGGAGGAGTCATTTGGTGGTTTTGAGTGAAATCCAATGGCTAAAACTATGCAATACACCAACCACTCCATTTCAGAACGAACTTCGTACGAACCTGAATTGTCCAATTTCATGGACCAATCGATATCGGATTGAGTCCAAAACTTGGGGAACATCATAATATGGTGGGAGGAGTCATTTGGTGGTTTTGAGTGAAATCCAATGGCTAAAACTATGCAATACACCAACCACTCCATTTCAGAACGAACTTCGTACGAACCTGAATTGTCCATTTCATGGACCAATCGATATCGGATTGAGTCCAAAACTTGGGGAACATCATAATATGGTGGGAGGAGTCATTTGGTGGTTTTGAGTGAAATCCAATGTCTAAAACTATGCAATACACCAACCACTCCATTTTGAACGAACTTCGTACGAACCTGAATTGTCCGATTTCATGGACCAATCGATATCGATTGAGTCCAAAACTTGGGGAACATCATAATATGGTGGAGGAGTCATTTGGTGGTTTTGAGTGAAATCCAATGTCTAAAACTATGCAATACACCAACGACTCCATTTCTGAACGAACTTCGTACGAACCTGAATTGTCCATTTCATGGACCAATCGATATCGGATTGAGTCCAAAACTTGGGGAACATCATAATATGGTGGGAGGAGTCATTTGGTGGTTTTGAGTGAAATCCAACTGGCTAAAACTATGCAATACACCAACCACTCCATTTTAGAACGAACTTCGTACGAACCTGAATTGTCCGATTTCATGGACCAATCGATATCGGATTGAGTCCAAAACTTGGGGAACATCATAATATGGTGGGAGGAGTCATTTGGTGAGTTTTGAGTGAAATCCAATGTCTAAAACTATGCAATACACCAACCACTCCATTTCAGAACGAACTTCGTACGAACCTGAATTGTCCGATTTCATGGACCAATCGATATCGGATTGAGTCCAAAACTTGGGGAACATCATATATGGTGGGAGGAGTCATTTGGTGGGTTTTGAGAGAAATCCAATGGTAAAACTATGCAATACACCAACCACTCCATTTCTGAACGAACTTCGTACGAACCTGAATTGTCCAATTTCACGGACCAATCGATATCGGATTGAGTCCAAAACTTGGGGAACATCATAATATGGTGGGAGGAGTCATTTGGTGTGTTTTGAGTGAAATCCAATGGATAAAACTATGCAATACACCAACCACTCCATTTTAGAACGAACTTCGTACGAACCTGAATCGTCCAATTTCACGGACCAATCGATATCGGATTGAGTCCAAAACTTGGGGAACATCATAATATGTTGGAGGAGTCATTTGGTGTGTTTTGAGGTGAAATCCAATGATAAAACTATGCAATACACCAACCACTCCATTTCAGAACGAACTTCGTACGAACCTGAATCGTCCAATTTCACGGACCAATCGATATCGGATTGAGTCCAAAACTTGGGGAACATCATAATATGGTGGGAGGAGTCATTTGGTGTGTTTTGAGTGAAATCCAAATGGATAAAACTATGCAATACACCAACCACTCCATTTCAGAGCGAACTTCGTACGAACCTGAATCGTCCAATTTCAGGGACCAATCGATATCGGATTGAGTCCAAAACTTGGGGAACCTCATAATATGGTGGGAGGAGTCATTTGGTGTGTTTTGAGTGAAATCCAATGGATAAAACTATGCAATACACCAACCACTCCATTTCAGAACGAACTTCGTACGAACCTGAATCGTCCAATTTCACGGACCAATCGATATCGGATTGAGTCCAAAACTTGGGGAACATCATAATATGGTGGGAGGAGTCATTTGGTGTGTTTTGAGTGAAATCCAATGGATAAAACTATGCAATACACCAACCACTCCATTTCAGAACGAACTTCGTACGAACCTGAATCGTCCAATTTCATGGACCAATCGATATCGGATTGAGTCCAAAACTTGGGGAACATCATAATATGGTTGGAGGAGTCATTTGGTGTGTTTTGAGTGAAATCCAATGGATAAAACTATGCAATACACCAACCACTCCATTTCAGAACGAACTTCGTACGAACCTGAATTGTCCAATTTCATGGACCAATCGATATCGGATTGAGTCCACAACTTGGGGAACATCATATTGTGGTGGGAGGAGTCATTTGGTGGGTTTTGAGTGAAATCCAATGGCTAAAACTATGCAATACACCAACCACTCCATTTTAGAACGAACTTGTACGAACCTGAATTGTCCGATTTCATGGACCAATCGATATCGGATTGAGTCCAAAACTTGGGGAACATCATAATATGGTTGGAGGAGTCATTTGGTTGGTTTTGAGTGAAATCCAATGGCTAAAACTATGCAATACACCAACCACTCCATTTCAGAACGAACTTCGTACGAACCTGAATTGTCCGATTTCATGGACCAATCGATATCGGATTGAGTCCAAAACTTGGGGAACATCATAATATGGTTGGAGGAGTCATTTGGTGGTTTTGAGTGAAATCCAATATGGTAAAACTGCGCAATACACCAACCACTCCATTTCAGAACGAACTTCGTACGAACCTGAATTGTCCGATTTCATGGACCAATCGATATCGGATTGAGTCCAAAACTTGGGGAACATCATATTATGGTGGGAGGAGTCATTTGGTGGTTTGAGTGAAATCCAATGGCTAAAACTATGCAAAACACCAACCACTCCATTTCAGAACGAACTTCCTACGAACCTGAATTGTCCGATTTCATGGACCAATCGATATCGGATTGAGTCCAAAACTTGGGGAACAACATAATATGGTTGGGAGGAGTCATTTGGTGGTTTTGGGTGAAATTCAATGGCTAAAACTATGCAACACCAACCACTCCATTTCTGAACGAACTTCGTACGAACCTGAATTGTCTAATTTCATGGACCAATCTAAAACATGCAATCCACACCACTCCATTTCAGAAGGAACTTGTGGAACGTGAATTGTCTAATTTCATGGACCAATCGATATAGGATTGAGTCCAAAACTTGGGGAACATCATATATGGTGGGAGGAGTCATTTGGGGGGTTTTGTGACAAAATCCAATGGCTAAAACTATGCAATACACCAACCACTACATTTTAGAACGAACTTCATACGAACCTGAATTGTCCAATTTCATGGACCAATCGATATCGGATTGAGTCCAAAACTTGGGGAACATCATAATATGGTGGGAGGAGTCATTTGGTGGGTTTTGAGCGAAATCCAATGGCTAAAACTATGCAATACACCAACCACTCCATTTTAGAACGAACTTCGTACGAACCTGAATTGTCCGATTTCATGGACCAATCGATATCGGATTGAGTCCAAAACTTGGGGAACATCATAATATGGTGGGAGGAGTCATTTGGTTTGTTTTGAGTGAAATCCAATGGCTAAAACTATGCAATACACCAACCACTCCATTTCAGAACGAACTTCGTACGAACCTGAATTGTCCGATTTCATGGACCAATCGATATCGGATTGAGTCCAAAACTTGGGGAACAACATAATATGGTGGGAGGAGTCATTTGGTGGTTTTGAGTGAAATCCAATGGCTAAAACTATGCAATACACCAACCACTCCATTTCAGAACGAACTTCGTACAAACCTGAATTGTCCAATTTCATGGACCAATCGATATCGGATTGAGTCCAAAACTTGGGGAACATCATAATATGGTGGGAGGAGTCATTTGGTGGTTTTGAGTGAAATCCAATGGCTAAAAAACTATGCAATACACCAACCACTCCATTTTAGAACGAACTTCGTACGAACCTGAATTGTCCTATTTCATGGACCAATCGATATCAGATTGAGTCCAAAACTTGGGGAACATCATAATATGGTGGGAGGAGTCATTTGGTGGGTTTTGAGTGAAATCCAATGGCTAAAACTATGCAATACACCAACAACTCCATTTCAGAACGAACATCGTACGAACCTGAATTGTCCGATTTCATGGACCAATCGATATCGGATTGAGTCCAAAACTTGGGGAACATCATAATATGGTTGGGAGGAGTCATTTGGTGGTTTTGAGTGAAATCCAATGTCTAAAACTATGCAATACACCAACCACTCCATTTCAGAACGAACTTCGTACGAACCTGAATTGTCCGATTTCATGGACCAATCGATATCGGATTGAGTCCAAAACTTGGGGAACATCATAATATGGTGGGAGGAGTCATTTGGTGGGTTTGAGTGAAATCCAATGGCTAAAACTATGCAATACACCAACCACTCCATTTCAGAACGAACTTCGTACGAACCTGAATTGCCCGATTTCATGGACCAATCGATATCGGATTGAGTCCAAAACTTGGGGAACATCATAATATGGTGGGAGGGGTCATTTGGTTGGTTTGAGTGAATGCATCTAAACTATGCACACAACCACTCCATTTTAGAACGAACTTCGTACGAACCTGAATTGTCCGATTTCATGGGAACAATCGATATCGGATTGAGTCCAAAACTTGGGGAACATCATAATGGTGGGAGGAGTCATTTGGTGGTTTTGAGTGAAATCCAATGGCTAAAACTATGCAATACACCAACCACTCCATTTCAGAACGAAACTTCGTACGAACCTGAATTGTCCGATTTCTTGGACCAATCGATATCGGATTGAGTCCAAAACTTGGGGAACACATAATATGTGGGAGGAGTCATTTGGTTGGTTTTGAGTGAAATCCAAAGTCCAAGAAAAAATGCTCACACCAACACTCTCCATTTTTAAACGAACTTTGTACGAACCTGAATTGTCAATTTCATGGACCATCGATATCGGATTGAGTCCAAAACTTGGGGAACATCATAATATGGTGGGTGGAGTTTTCGATATCGGACTGAGTCCAAACATTTGACGACTCTACCTGAATTGTCCGATTTCATGGACCAATCGATATCGGATTGAGTCCAAAACTTGGGGAACACCATAATATGGTGGGAGGAGTCATTTGGTGGTTTTGAGTGAAATCCAATGGCTAAAACTATGCAATACACCAACCACTCCATTTTAGAACGAACTTCGTACGAACCTGAATTGTCCGATTTCATGGACCAATCGATATCGGATTGAGTCCAAAACTTGGGGAACATCATAATATGTGTGGAGGAGTCATTTGGTGGTTTTGGGTGAAATCCAATGGCTAAAACTATGCAATACACCAACCACTCCATTTTAGAACGAACTTCGTACGAACCTGAATTGTCCGATTTCATGGGACCAATCGATATCGGATTGAGTCCAAAACTTGGGGAACATCATAATATAGTTGGGAGGAGTCATTTGGTGTTTTGAGTGAAATCCAATGGCTAAAACTATGCAATACACCAACCACTCCATTTCAGAACGAACTTCGTACGAACCTGAATTGTCCAATTTCATGGACCAATCGATATCGGATTGAGTCCAAACTTGGGGAACATCATAATATGGTGGGAGGAGTCATTTGGTGGTTTTGAGTGAAATCCAATGTCTAAAACATGCAATACACCAACCACTCCATTTCAGAACGAACTTCGTACGAACCTGAATTGTCCAATTTCATGGACCAATCGAAATTGGATTGAGTCCAAAACTTGGGGAACATCATAATATGGTGGGAGGAGTCATTTGGTGGTTTTGAGTGAAATCCAATGGCTAAAACTATGCAATACACCAACCACTCCATTTCAGAAACGAACTTCGTACGAACCTGAATTGTCCGATTTCATGGACCAATCGATATCGGATTGAGTCCAAAACTTGGGGAACATCATAATATGGTGGGAGGAGTCATTTGGTGGTTTTGAGTGAAATCCAATGGCTAAAACTATGCAATACACCAACCACTCCATTTCAGAACGAACTTCGCACGAACCTGAATTGTCCGATTTCATGGACCAATCGATATCGGATTGAGTCCAAAACTTGGGGAACATCATAATATGGTGGGAGGAGTCATTTGGTGTGTTTTGGGTGAAATCCAATGTCTAAAACTATGCAATACACCAACCACTCCATTTCAGAAGCGAACTTCGTACGAACCTAAATGTCCGATTACACAGACGAATCGATATTGGATTGAGTCCAAAACTTGGGGAACATTGTTGTTAAAATGTTAACTCGCAATTGTATGGGCCAATTAGTAGTACAACAAGACAAGTATGAGGTCGTACCCGCGAGGATTGAGAAGTTAAAATTAGTTATGTACTTAGATTACCAAATTCAAGAAAGTAGGAGGTTAAGTCTAAAATAGAATTTAAAGCAAGAGTGATTGTGGTTGTTGAACAAATGAGGCAAAACGAAATTTCAAACAAAAGCAAAGTGAGCAAATGTAACAAAGAGTATTTTTTGTAGGCTGGAAAACAGATTGGGAGACTAGGGCATTCGATTCACCATAACAATTCAATTTTGGGTTATAAGGAGTCAAGTGACAAGTCTAATTTGGATTCAAAGATTGATTCTAGCTAAAGTATGATTAGGCCATGGTGTCTGGTCCTAACCTTGTGTTCCTAATTCCCTAACTCAATCATTTGTTGTCTAACCTAAATTAAGCATTAGGAACATGAATAAAGAATGGGAACTTGAATCATGAATCAAACTTGAAATTCAAAGCTTCAACTTATAAACCCAGAATATTCATGTTAGGTTACATCAAAGCCCTAGTTATGAATTTAGCTACTCATAATGGAAATGAAACTTAAACAGAAATGAGAAAACATAATGAATGCAATAAGAGTGAGAAAACCCATTTCTGAAGTTGCCTGTGGTTTCCAAGGCTTCTCCAGGTGCTTCTCCACGTCTAATGCTGCTCCAAGAACTTCCTCACATCTAGAGTATGGCAACTAAAGGGGTGATTTGGGATGAGTTTGGGTGAGTGGTGATGGCAGAGAAAAGGAAATTCGTAGGGAAATGGAAGGAAGGCTTGTTGGAGCTGTTTTGGTGATTTGGGCTGAATGGAGTGTTTGGGGAAGGATGGGAGTGTTAGAGGATGACTAAAGTGAATTTTAGGCTGAATGGAGTGACCCCTTGAATGAGTGTGCATCTCTCTATTTATAGAGTGCAATTTCGTACTCCCCCTTTGGCTGGTGAAGCACACCCATTCTTAGCTGTTCCCATTGCCTGACCTGCCCATTAGGTTCTCATGCTGCTTTGTCTCCTATGTGTGGCTGGTTTGGTGTGTAGCCCATGCCTCTAGGAATGTCAGTTGCCCATCCTTCTGAGTTTCCATGCTGTCTTGTCAGACCATGGCTCAACAACTGGCAGTTGCATTCCTGAGCATGGTGTGCATTTTGATGGGCTCACGGATTGGGGTTGACTTAATCAATTGATACATTTGAGTAGTCCATCTTGACGTTCAAACTCTCATCTTTCCAACCACATATTATTTGGGTCAGTCCAAGTTGAGAGAAAGCCGTCAAAGCCGAAATGAATTGCTAACTCAGTGTGCTCGTTTTTGCACCATTTTGCATCTTTTCTTATCCAAAGGCACCATTGCTACCTAAGGCCCAATGAACTGAATGATAAACAGAAAAGGGGTTAAAAGCACAAGTTTGGGGAAAAAAAAAAAAAAAAAAAAAAAAAAAAAAAAAAAAAAAAAAAAAAAAAAAAAAAAAAAAAAAAAAAAAAAAAAAAAAAAAAAAAAAAAAAAAAAAAAAAAAAAAAAAAAAAAAAAAAAAAAAAAAAAAAAAAAAAAAAAAAAAAAAAAAAAAAAAAAAAAAAAAAAAAAAAAAAAAAAAAAAAAAAAAAAAAAAAAAAAAAAAAAAAAAAAAAAAAAAAAAAAAAAAAAAAAAAAAAAAAAAAAAAAAAAAAAAAAAAAAAAAAAAAAAAAAAAAAAAAAAAAAAAAAAAAAAAAAAAAAAAAAAAAAAAAAAAAAAAAAAAAAAAAAAAAAAAAAAAAAAAAAAAAAAAAAAAAAAAAAAAAAAAAAAAAAAAAAAAAAAAAAAAAATTGGTTCGTTTAGAGTGAAATCCAATGGCTAAAACTATGCAATACACCAACCACTCCATTTCAGAACGAACTTCCTACGAACCTGAATTGTCCGATTTCGTGGACCAATCGATATCGGATTGAGTCCAAAACTTGGGGAAAATCATAATATGGTGGGAGGGGAGTCATTTGGTTGTTTTGAGTGAAATCCAATATCTAAAACTATGCAATACCCCAACCACTCCATTTCAGAACGAACTTCGTACAAACCTGAATTGTCCAATTTAATGGACCAATCGATATCGGATTGAGTCCAAAACTTGGGGAACATCATAATATGGTGGGAGGAGTCATTTGGTTGGTTTTGAGTGAAATCCAATCTCTGGAACTATGCAATACACCAACCACTCCATTTCAGAACGAACTTCGTACGAACCTGAATTGTTCAAATTTCATGGACCAATCGATATCGGATTGAGTCCAAAACTTGGGGAACATCATAATATGGTGGGGGGAGTCATTTGGTTGGTTTTGAGTGAAATCCAATCTCTAAAACTATGCAATACACCAACCACTCCATTTCAGAACGAACTTCGTACGAACCTGAATTGTCCGATTTCATGGACCAATCGATATCGGATTGAGTCCAAAACTTGGGGAACATCATAATATGGTGGGAGGAGTCATTTGGTGGGTTTTGAGTGAAATCCAATGGCTAAAACTATGCAATACACCAACCACTCCATTTTAGAACGAACATCCTACGAACCTGAATTGTCCGATTTCGTGGGACCAATCGATATCGAATTGAGTCCAAAACTTGGGGAACATCATAATATGGTGGGAGGGGAGTCATTTGGTTGTTTTGAGTGAAATCCAATCTCTAGAACTATGCAATACACCAACCACTCCATTTCAGAACGAACTTCCCACGAACCTGAATGGTCCGATTTCATGGGCCAATCGATATCGGATTGAGTCCAAAACTTGGGGAACATCATAATATGGTGGGAGGAGTCGTTTGGTTGGTTTTGAATGAAATCCAATGGCTAAAGCTATGCAATACACCAACCACTCCATTCCATAACGAACTTCCTACGAACTTGAATTGTCCGATTTCGTGGACCAATCGATATCGGACCAAGTCCAAAACTTGGGGAACATCATAATATAGTGGGAGGAGTCTTTAGGTGGGTTTTGAGTGAAATCCAATGGCTAAAACTGTCCAATACACGAACCACTCCATTTCAAATGACCTGACCCAAATTCCACTTTAAAATCCGGGTCGAATCCTGTTTAAACTGACACCTGGTGGTTGTGGGTCGTTAATGGCCAAAAGGCCCTGAAAAACAATAAAACAAACCCTAAGGCCCTTACTCGTGGCTGCACCTGATATCTGTAGGCTGCCTACGTACCCTTACTGAGGGATCAAGCCACACGTAGTTCTTTCCTCTGTTCCTGATCTGCAACTGGTTTGTTTACTATAAAACTCGCTCTAGGGCTAACATTCCTGGAGTAACCGGGACTCCGTTTTACGATCCATCAAATACTATACGATCCTGGAATTACCTAGATCAACATGCCTGGACATGACTACGATCCAACGGTTCAAACCTACTGAACTCGGAAATCACACTTTACGCGCTCGTGGGGACTAGGAGATTATTCTAGGACTGACTCTGGTCCCCACCTCGCTGCCCATGCACCTCCACACGCACCGGCAGCGCTTGGTGCCTAAAGAGATAATGCTCCGCCGGAAAGACTCTAAACCACGGCTCAAGACTCCTACCCTGGGTATAAGACCCTATTTGGAGCCACTTTTGTTCTTGGACCTACCCCAAAATTTGGCCGGAAGTGGCTGAAATCTCAACCCGAAATCTGGCTAAACTTTGGATCCAAGATCGAGATATCTACGCTAGAAAATAGCTAGAAAACCATACCTCACTCGTCCGATTTGGTGGCCGGAGGTGTCCGAACGAGCTCCGTGAAATTCCATCGAAAACTGTCCAAACCGTCCTGTTTCGTGGCGATTTCCGGCGACCACGACAGCGAATCGAGGCTGGGATGGGCTGAGACTGAAAGAGGGGAGTGAGGTGGTTCATTTGGCACTGGTCTTCCTCAATTTGGTGGTCGGGGCTGAGAGAAACCCTCTCCTAAAGTCGCTTGGTCTACTAGAGGGGCAGGAAAAATTTGGGTTTTAAAAACTGAAGTTTGAATATTTACGGTTATGCCACTGAACTTCTTTTGCTCATAACTCCTTCGTTACAACTCCGATTCGAGCCCACTACGTGTCTACAGACTCGTTTTGTCGCACTCTACGCAATGGTACAACTGAAATCCCCAAATTCCTTCGTGGTCAAAAATTCAACTTTTCAACCAATAAAATATTCTAGGGGTATAATGGACCAATCAATATCGGATTGAGTCCAAACCTTGGGGAACATCATAATATGGCGAGAGGAGTCATTTGGTTGGTTTTGAGTGAAATCCAATCTCTAGAACTATGGAATACACCAACCACTCCATTTCAGAACGAACTGCGTACGAACCTGAATTGTCTGATTTCATGGCCCAATTGATATCGGATTGAGTCCAAAACTTGGGGAACATCATAATATGGTGGGAGGAGTCATTTGGTGGGTTTTGAGTGAAATCCAATGTTTAAAACAATGCAATACACCAACCACTCCTTTTCAGAACGAACTTCCAACGAACCTGAATTATCCTATTTCATGGACCAATCGATATCGGATTGAGTCCAAAACTTGGGGAACATCATAATATGGTGGGGGGAGTCATTTGGTTGGTTTTGATTGAAATCCAGTCTCTAGAACTAGTGAATACACCATAACGAACTGCATACGAACCTGAATTGTCCGATTTCAAGGACCAATCAATATCAGAATTAGTCCAAAACTTGGGGCACATCATAATGTTTGACTGAGTGAAATCCAATCTTCAGAACTATGC